AATACGAAACAGGATTTGCTGTAATGCCGTTATGCGGTAATATCGCTTCATCTAAATGATCTTGCGTGAATAGCAGATTTCCCAAAAGCGGGAATTTCCTGCCAATCAAGTAAAATCCTCTTTCACGTCCCGTCTCTCGGATCGGCGTATAACATGCAGGCATACAGCGTCTCGAAAAGGCAACCAGGCTTTGATTTACTCTCTCGTCCTCCATTCAAGACGTTCCGGCGGCGCGTTTTCTCCTTAAATGGACGCCCAACGTCTGAGAGACATTAGAGTTCTCGGTCAAAGCCAAAGTCACAGCGAGGGTTTCCATCCTTGATGTTTTCCGAAGAGACACTGCACATCACGAAAGGTCGGAAGAAAAAGGACGTTCGAGATAAATACACCAAGATTCTCTCTTATGTCGTGTCTTTCGCTTTGTGGATCGTCGAAATAACGAGAACAAAATCAATGATGCGCGTAATACATGATATCGTTGAACCACCCGAGTGACATGATCGTAGACGGATTAGAAAGGAGTTGCGACAACACGCTCGCATATAGTTATGCTTATTATTTGAAGGTCGCGTTACATCGCGTTCACGATGCAATTCCATCTAAATATGTTTTGTAAGATTATAACGTTCAACTTAACGAGAAACACGCTTTGCAAAATATTCAGTATAATATGTGAATTATTACATTATATTAAAATGTTATTTAGTATCGTGAAATTTGATCGCATGGATTTGTGCGTTAAATATCCATGATATCAGTGAAAAATGTTACAACAACAGAATTGTGAATATTACGCGAGAAATTTTAATATAAATGTTAAATTCAAGATGCGAGAGAGAGAGAGAGAAGAAGAAGAGACGAATTCTATAATATCAAATATGGTTTAAAGATGCACATTGCAGTAATTAAAGTTAATAACTATATTTAAATTATATTAATACTAATATATAAAGGAAATTATAAACGCCGCACTGTAGCAAACAAAATATAGAATATTTATTTACGTGACAGCGTTAAAATCAATCCATACGTTCACACCATTTTATATCACATTTTATATCATAAAATTTTCCACTGTTCTCTTATAATTCATACGTGCTAGCTGCTACAATTTTATTCTTATATTATATTTAATGTACCGGGGCCTCTGAATAATATTCGATTACTCGTACTATCAAGCATAATTTATATGAGAATATAACACGAAATTTCAGAGCAAACTTCATACACGAAAATTCGATATTTTGAATTATTGAAATAGTATATTGAAATAGTATCAGATTATTTCGATACTACACGAATAAAAAACACGAAGAGAAAGAACGAAAAAAAAGTATGTGCAACTGGACGCGCGAAACATTTTGCATTTATCGCATATTTGCATCGCAGCGAACGTTACTAGCGTGAACGCCCCCTCTGTTCACCGTAAATTCGCCGCGGAATTCGGTATGCTTCAAAATTGCATCGTGGCGCATTCCACGTTTCGACGATTTCCGGTCGATGCCGGTCGAAGGCCGTCACGTCGGAGCGATGCACGCGTCGCGAACGCATCAGCGAGCGGTTTCTCGCGCGCTTTCCGCGAGACAATAAGCGCAGGGAAGGGGGAAGGACGGTGTGTTTCACAATAAAAAGAATCCAGTTTACCGTTATCGTCGTTGCTGGAATTCCTACCTTTATACGCGAGATGATTTCGCGTATCGTGATACATCCGCTATATTCGCGTTGCCGTAATGGGATATGCAATGCGTGCGCGCGTCTGCGAATTAGAAATGCCTAAGAATGCAAGGAATAAAGAGGAGGATACCGATTCCTCATTAGATCTCGCAACATAACGTCAAAAACAACTTGTTGATTTAATCTTGTTGATTTAATCAATTCCAATGTTGAAATACTCGCTTCATTCCAGCGAGTAATTCAATTGATGAATCATCGATCGAGAGAATGTTGACGATAACTCGATAATTCTAACTCTACTGTTGTATCGAGTAATTATTATTAATAGTTAATATTTGTTTTAATTCTTTGTTCTTCTTGAATAATCTATGTACGAGTTTTTACGTTAAATTACTTAAATTATACTAGTTTATAAATTTGGAATAATTTTTAGTGAAAAAAAGGGAAATAACTTTTTTAACATATTTTGGGACATTGAATTCGCGAATCAGAAAAACCCCGTCAAGTCGAATGTTAAAGATATAACATATCAATTTCAAAATATATCATATCAATTTTAAAATGTAGCATATCATTTTTTAAGATTAGTTTTCCTTTCCTAATAATTTGAGTGCGATAAACGATGAGTAATACAAACGTTTCCACTAAAATTTGATGATTGATAAACGTTCAGGAATATCGAAACATTCTAGGCGACTACTACTCTAATACGTGAAATCGATCTAAAATCATGTAAAGAACAAAAATAAAACACTCAACATTTCTAATTTGTTTTCCAGTTTCAATAAAATTAAATCGTGTGTGTGTGTGTGTGTGTGTGTGTGTGTGTGTGTGCATTGAAAAAAATGTTTTTTCTTATATCTCAAAAAACCGGATCTACTAGAAATATTTCGATGGCAGATCTGGGCTTAGCGTCGAAATTATTCTGGAAACAGTCTTTACGTGCTCTTGTATAAAATTTTGTAATTAATGTTATTAGATCGTTGCATATGACGTGTCGGATTCTAAAAGAGGATTCATAAGAGAAAGTTGGAAATCGTAGTTGATACGATTAAATACGTCAGCGAATAATCTCTCGTCAGAAGAGCACTCAAGGTACGCTACGCGAAGTAACACTCTCTTTGAGTTGAGAAAAAGAGAAAAACCGAGAATATCGACGAAAGAGATTGTGGGTCAAGCACTCGCCGCTACGCGTTCCACTTTCTCCTTTCTTCAGTTTTCGTAGACGGAAGGTCCACGACCTTACAATCGGTTTCAGTTACAACTATTATTTCAACACAATTTGTAAAAGTTTTCGTTTTTGTTTGATGCGATCGTAATATAGCACTTATTAAAAAATAATATTACAAAAATCCACGCAACTGTAGAGTAATTCCTTATTTTTAAAAATTCATGTGAAAAAAAGTTGATACTTTTTTCTGTAGATATTAAATAATATCTATTTTCGATATTAAATTTTACTTTATTTAACATTTAAATAACTTTTTTTTCTAAAAGCATCTAGAGTTTTTATTTTTTTATTCTTATAAATTAAATGAATGCTTTCCAAATTCCTAAAAGCTGACAATTTTTATTTTTCAAATGTATTTTTGAAAAGACACGGTTGGAACACGAGCGATAATGATCTCCGGCCTACAGCTACACGATCAGCTGTGCCAATTTGTAAGAACGAATGGTTAAACGCAGATCACGATAGGAAAAACATCCCCGTGCTCCGGTGGAATCTGCGTAATCGATTCTTCATGCAAATGAGAGCCGCTGTGCGCTATTACAACGTGGAGAAGCTGGACTCGCACGGGTGTACGCACTAATCGATTCTCGCGATCGGAACGAGACGAGAGAAGCGGAGCTTTGCGAGGGATTACTACGATTATCCGAATAATTACCCTCTGAGCTTCGGGGACGGGGTGGCAAATAAAGCCAGCCCCGATCGTCGGCTAAATTCGTATTCCATCTGCGCATTCGGTCATATCGGCTGACATTTGTGTGGATAATCAACGTCGCATTCCCTCGTAAGTCGAAAGCCCTACCGATGATAAGTAAATAAATAAATAAAATTCGAAAAAATAAATAACAGAGCATGAAATTACCAGAAAAAGTAGATTACTCTTTATACTCAGATTTTCAATTTCGCAAAATCATTAACCTTCTTGTTACTCTTTGATATGTCAATGCTCATTCATTTGAAGATCCGATTAGTTTTCAATTTCGTTTAATCCGAGTCGCGTCGCTTCCGATTCATATCTGTTGAAATATTCTTAAGTAAAATAAATACACGATTCTCATTTAAGTCCAGTTACATTTAATTATAACAGAACTTATTAACAGTTTTACCAGATTAGTTAAATGATAAACAAGAAAGCAAGAGAGGAACAAAAGTTTCACAGTGTAATAATAATCTTAATATTGAGTCAATTAAAACAGAATTTTAGCACTTCGTACAAAGACAGATTGCTTATTCTAGACTTATCTGTAACGAGAAAATTAACAAATATCGCCGCTGCAAGGCCTCGCAATCAACACGACCGCTTGATACCAAGGTCCGCAGGGAAAAGGGGCTGAAAGGGGCGAGCAACAGCGATGTTCTCAATTTTTTGACAAATGAGCAACTTCCGAAATAGTGCCATCTCTCGCGATTAGTTTAATGTAATTACTAATTAATCGATAATATAATTCATATTCTCAACAATACCGATGAACGTTAATAAAAGAAGCGAATTGGCAGATCGCCACGCTTCGATAAATAGCGAATTGTTCGTTTTTTCCGTTTACGCGGTTATTAAGATATAGTTTATTGTAGAGAATTCCAGCAATGTTCCGGACGCGCGCGTTATCTTCTAGAAGATCGCAAAAAGTAACCGGATGGCATTCAAATGCAGCACATAAAGGCAGAACTTGTATGTGAATGTATGAGAAAATAATATTTTAATAATGTTTCCATGTTAAAGACACTTCTATATTATATATAGAACCGATCTATAATACACCTGTTTATTATAACACAAGACACTTCGATAACTCAACAGATGGCGATATATAAAGTACATTTAAACAAGTAAAACTCGTCAAATTGTATTAAAGATCCTAAATAATAGTTTTGCATATTCATTTATCCGAAAATAATACACATAAAGCTACGGAATAAATTTGCAACTTTAACATACTTGAATATCGTAGGGAAACACCTCTGTATTCATCATTTTGCTGTACTTGCAGTATCGAGATATACCGTAAAATTACCGTAAATAAATCACTTTCTGCTAGAGCCTACTCGAGAGGCAAGAAGCGGCAGTGAAAAAATTAACAAGGCAATAATGAATACTCACCGAACGCTTTGCAGCTTGCACCATGAAGGGAATCCCCAGCGAGTTGAATGATGGCCATGAGAATATCGCCCATCATCAGACAGGCGACATGATGAGTCTGGCAACGCCAATGCAAAACGTGATGAGAGGCCGGCAGTAAACAACCGGCCGCTAGAGTAGCAGCCAGGAAGAGAGCGCTAATGATGAAACCCACGGGATACAGGGTGAATCTGATGTCCGTTGCTTTTACCGCAGGTCTGAAAAATTCGAGCAGATTTTAGGACGCTACTTTAGACGCTAGTCTTCATTTAAACTTGTTCAACGTAAAAAGCACAAAGATCTAAAAGTTCCATCTGAAAGTCATGAAATTTCATGAGCCAATCGTGTAATCGGCGAAAGGAAATTGTTCTGCTTTGCAATAATTCTTCCTTTTTTCCATTTTAAATCTTTATTCGTAGAATCAATTTCTGTCATGCTTAATGATTATACATCAGACAATGAATAACATATATGTATGTATGTATATATATACATATATGTACCTATATAATAACAAAATCATTTAATCTGAGTTACTATGATTTTATGCTTCATATATCTATTCACACATTAATGAAAGATCTAAATAAACATGTAATTTATGTCTGCGACAATTTTAACGACAATATTCGAATCTAATGTATAACTTATAAATATACCACAATATATGTACAACTTATTCGATAACGTGCAATAACAATAACAAGTAACGCAAAAAGAAATGATAATAATTTATCGTTGTGTACATATTTTTACCATAAATTTCTGTTTTCTCTATTTTTACTTTTCTCTACTTCAAATCTTTTTTTTACAGAGTAGTAGCAGCAGAAAGGAAGGTTAGCATATATTTAACATGCAAATTCCGGTGTCGGTCCTGTCGATATTTTCCACTACCTACAGACAAAAAGTCGCGAAAGAAAAAGACAAATTATGGCGCTATTTCTCGTTATTTCTCGCGCTGGCGGATTAATTAAATTCGGGCAATTTTATCGGCGTCACATCGGCAATTGACCGATTGGCTTACTGCCAGCCGTGGGCAGTGAGTCAGATATTCGATCGATTATAACGGAAATAATACCGCGTTATCGGCAATCGTTACGTCCGTTTTTAATTAAGATTCCTGAAAGATTCGGATAGAACAATTTTTCATCGTACTTAATGACATCACGATGTGACCGCATTTAGGACAATCAGGATAGCGGTATCCGTTTTCGAATCACTCATAGTGATTTTAACTCGCATCTATCACTCGTACATATGTAATACGAGTGAAAGTTGAGAGGAAAGCTCTTTCAAGATTTCTAGAGATTTGACTTGGTGTTTACTGGAAAAACTTTCGTGTAATAAAAAATCTACGTGCGTCACAAACATTATTTAAATATATTCTATAATATATCTATTGCAAAAAAATATATTTTACATTAAAGTTACATAAAAAAACATAGTTTATGATAATAGAATATAAAACCACGTACAGAGATAAAGCTCTTTTTCCAACACTGAAAAAACATAAATCTTACTAAAAATTTATTTGAATAGTTCTAAGTAAATATTTATTTAGTAAATAAACATTTATACTTAGTACTATTCAAAGAAATATGTAATAAAATTTAGTAAATATTTTTCAGTGAAGAAATTGCAAAAATTGAGTTTTATTTCTGTACTTGTTGTAAAATAAAAGATAACAACTGCTTTGAAATCTGCTCGATTATATCGCACTGCAACACTTGCATTTAATACACGTATCGTCAAAGATTGATTTTATCCAATTGTGAGAAAAGTCACCGATTCTATTTGGAAAGCATTCGCGACGAAAAAAAAAATCTATCGCATATCCGACCACGTTTTGTTCCACTGATTGCCATTCGCTGAAGTAGTTGGCGAGCAAATTTTTCACGGGAAACACAATGCTGTGTGTCAGCCGACCCGTATGTACATACACGTATGCAGAAGCGCAAATAGAATACGAACGGAATAACTTTCAGCAAAATCGATCCTACATTGGGTGCAAATGCGCGGCGCTAATCGCATTTTCGACGTTACTTTATGCACCTAACAGCGATTAAACTTTTGCCATAAATTCTCCCAGTAATTTTCGTTAAACACCGCGTCGGCGACACTTCGAATCCGGGAGATAAACACAGTTCATTGGTATACTATCCCCGGTAGCGCGACACATTCTAGCCGAGAATTCGGTCGTTGTACATGTACCATGCGACACTACATGACACTACGTCTGTACGTCTGTACCGAACGGAAACCTCGGATCTTATTATCAACGATGTCCTGCATGTCTGCCCTGCCCGTCAATCCATCACGGTTCGTCCTTCGTCTTAGCGGGACATACCTGTCTAGACAAATGAGATCTTCTAACCCTATCTTAGGTACGTTACATGACGTACAGACCGTAAATCACCTGACATTTAGCATATTGAATTGTTACGTAAAGCGAAACTATCGTATTTTGTCACATATAACGATGCTCGTATAAAGACTTATGACAATTTCGCATTTCTTTCTAAGTAGAAAAACTTTGGACACTTCTCAATCCTCTATCGAGAAATAATATAACTTTGAAATAATGTCGCTTTTCACATAATAAAAATGTAATATCAGCACTTCTTTATATCTTCAAATTAGATTCAATTCTATGGGATTATTTTTTAAAACATTCAGAATTCTAGACAGGAAAGATCAGAACTTCAATTATGTTGAAATTCTAAGAAAGAACGGGATGAGAAAAAACCTCGCAATGTCATTTTCCTTACGCAACACCCGCGAGTTGAAGCGTTTATATCGCTCATCGCTCCGATGCGCGGAAACGAGGTATTGAGTTGTGAGTGTTGTGAGAACGTTTTAATGGAATCTCAGATGACGTGAGATCTCGGACACACGCGACCTAGAAAATACCTGTCGAGGAGCAATGAAAGTGAGGCGGCCCGAGATATTTCCTCTACGTTTCCCGAGAACGACGTAGAAACGGGAAACCGCGTTTATCCCTCGTTTCAGCTACCTAACGTCGAACGCGCAATTAAGTCGTACGATAAATTCAGATCGGAGCAGGCGATACTTAACGGGGCAAAAAGTCGGATCGTGCTTGGAGTGTCTTAAAGTGGGTCGGACGACTTGACCGCCGGAACTTGCCACGAGTCGACTTCATTCTTCATTACGCGGTACGAATGAACGATGATCGAGAGAATAAGAAGAATAGAGGATTAGTTTTGCATAATTGAGAGATCGATATTTAACTTCCTGCGATTTACGCGTACGCTTGATATGGAGTTATCGATCGGAACAGCGTACGCGTGGAATATATTAAATTAATAGCGCAACGTATTACGGAAAACAAATAAATATTTATTACAGATTTCAAAGAACGTTAAAGAAGAATCTAATTGAGTAATTTTCTTAATTTACGATTATACGAATTTATTCTTATACCCTTCCGTCAACTTGGAGGTACAGTCAATGTATTTCGATTATCATTTTTAAGAGAATAAATAGATAGCGAGATTCAATATCTCCTAAAGTAAGTTACAATTAGTAACATTAAGATTGTGTGATGTATGTACAAAAACGATTAAGGCCCAGTTCCACAACTCACAGTTAATTCTTAACCGAGGTTCAATTTGTTTCTCATCTCTTTTCAATTCTAAAATTAGAAAGAGACAATGAATAAGTTAAACCTCGGTTAAGAGTTAACCATGAGTTGTGGAACTGGGCCTAAAAGATGTTTATGCTTTCAACACAAATTGCAGACCGTAACATAGTGTTGTAAACTGGAAATAATATAATTTTATAATTAGATTCAATTATCTTAACATCCTAACAAAGAAGATACAAGACACCTTTGATAAGCTATATAAAAATTTTTGCGCACAGGATGCGTCAACACTAGGGAATGATGCGTGAGCCACATTTTGACCAATCAGTGTTTAACTTTTCCGTAAAAACCTGAACGTTGATTGGCCAACGCATGACCATGTTATTCCCTAGCATTGACACATTTTGTGACAAAAGCCATACGACATATATATCTAGACCAAACGTTCGACCGCTGAGTATCAAAATCATGTAATTTTTTTTCTAGAGCTGAAACGTGAAAAATGAAATTTTTCGTGTATGTACGTATAAATACATCTATTGACTACACACACACGCACGTACGCACGCACGCGCACGCACGCACGCACGCGCACGCACACACACACAAATGTCATTTTTCACGTTTCCGTTCTAGGGAAAAAAGTTGCATGACTGTCTAGCTTGAAACTCTTTCACTAATACACGGAGCATGGAACATTTTAACTTTTACTTAGTCATCTTCAACCACTGAATACCAAACTATAGAGAACTCAAATCAGTCTATCTTTTTTTCCCTAGAAAACATGGTCAACTGGTTAGCTTCAAAGGTCGAATGCTTTCCAACATAGGAAAAGATTCATTAGGTTTTCCCTAAAAAGCGTGAAGTTACCATATTGACAGAGTATGCGACAAGAGCCAACTTTATGTATTCTTTTTCCTGTCCCAGTACCAGCATTGAAAAAAGAAGATCTATACGTATATTTCTCTCTTCAATTAACGTTGATTTTGGAGGAAAAGAAAAAATGCATAAAGATGCTTCCTTGTACACGTTCGGATTCCCATCTGAGTGCTCCCCGGATGTCATGTCATCCTTGTTTACCATTAAACAAAGATAACATGATACCCGAGGAGCACCCAGATGGGAATCAGAACACACCTCTTATCGCTCTAGGTTTGTTCGCGTCGCAAGTTCCAACATGCTCCAACATGCTCCTACCATAGCTCCTACTCTATCAAGCGCGTTGGAGGGAGTAAAAGCTATGGTAAAAGCATGTTGGAACGTGTTGAAGCATGCGACGCGAATAAACCTACTGTTTCTTCGTCAAATGATTAGCTTCACATTAGAAGTCGAATGCTTGGTCTAGGTGTTTTATAGTTAATTTCACGCTTTTTAGAAACGAATGGAAACGAATGACTGCGTTCGGTTTAGGTGCTCATGCGCTGCAAACTTCATTCTGTCTTCCTTCTATAAGTAATGAGTAATAAAGACAGAATGAAGCTTACAACGCGTAAGCGCCGAATTGACCGCAGCCAGTATGGATATGTCTAGGTATATGTGTCGTTGCTAACTTAATAGTTTGTATTATTTTATTATGACTATTATGAGATGGATATCATGACTATATTTTGATATATTCGATCAAGTTATTGTTAATTCTGTCATATTATTTAATTTGAGGACAGCTATAATTCTACTTTAAATCGTCGAAATTTTGTAAAGAATTCGGTACTAGGTTTGATTTGATAAAGTCTCCTCTCAGATATCGACTACAAAATCAACTTCTACGGAAATATATTAAATACAAGATCCATGAAATACTCAAAATTGAAAAGAAAAGACTTCATAAATAAATACAATTTGAGAAATTATAAGAAAACCACGTATTGCTGTAACTTGTGTGGTAAGCCAAAGTACGAAGAGCAACCGAAATATTGTAAGAGTTGTGTCATATAATATTTTAATTTTTTTCTATCTTTATATTCATTTTGATAAAAATAAACAAAATTTTTAATGTAAAAATAATATTATTTTTTTTTTCTGAAAAAAGATCGTATAGTGACTATAGCTTCAGAAAGTTGAATTATTTGAATATGCAAGAAGATTTTTATTTAAAAAATCGAATAAAACTCGATTTTTTAATAAAAATCTTCTTGCATATTCAAATATACGATTTTTTTTTCAGAAGAACATACCCTTCAGTCTAAAAGAATTTTTTTATTTACTCATATAAAATTACAAATTTTTTTATCCGTTTTTTCAATTTTGTTATTAAAATTTAAATTTGTAAAAATTAAGCAAAATACAATACGATTTTTATTACGGTAAAAACTTATTTTTGTTAATGATTTTATAAGTGTACAAAATTTTTTCCAGGTTTTTATTTGGTTCAGAACAATAAAAAAATCTGCTGTGGACTTCAAAACCCCATATTGTTGACGAAGGTGCAAAATTCCATAAGGCCGATGGAGGATTAAAATCTGTTAGAAAATAATATTATAAAAAAAAAAATTATAACAAAATAATATACTTCCATTAGGATAATTAGGTTCAGACAAGATCGATATATTTTATTACTTTAACAATACTTAAACGATAATGTTGCAATGTAGTAAAAAAATAATTAAATTATGTATTAAAATCAAATACAGTATTTTCCAAATCCGAGTAAAAATAATGAAAAATAAAGATCCCTTACTTATCCAATACTTTTACCTATCTTTGAACGTTCTTATATCCTTAGGTTTCAGATAACATGATAATTATGTGCAATATCGTGATGTTATCTTAACGTGGAGACAAATTTTTTATTATTATTTGTTGACATTCCGTAACACTGCATAAAAATTCATCTCAATCTCGCACTGACCTTTGTGGTGCATGTTCCGGACAGGCGAACACCTTGGAGATCTGGTTGAGTTCCTTAATTCTTTCAACGCAGAACTGGCCGTTAGGTAAAACGACCCCATTTATCTCCAAGCTGCCATCGGGTTGCATCTCAGCTTCCATTGCATTTCCGACGATCGTGAAATTGTCGGATTTTGGGCAGTTAGGAAATCCGGTCACGATTTCGATGGCGGACGATGCGTTCGGAAGTAAAGGTGGTGCATCCGCAGTCTCTTTCATGATTACGCAGGTATTTCTGTTGAATAAAAAAGATATATTTGTCATAGAGCCATTCGTTACAATGAGAAACAGTAGAGGCATCCGAGCGTAAATTCTTTTGTTGTCTCTTCTGTACAAATGTTTCTTTAACAGTCTGCAGACCGAAATGTTTAATAATTAAATAAAAGTTTCCAAGAAATTTAGTGTAAGAAAAAATTTAAAAATAAGAATGAATTCTCTAACAGTAAAGAAAATTATTGCTGTTGAGTTTCATTTTTTTGTTGCCGACTATTTTCGAAATAACTAATATAATATGATATACAGATATATGTATAAAGAATTGAATATCTTACTTCTGTATCAGTATTAGTAGTCACGTGTCAGTCTCTCTCGATTTAGTTTTTATTATAAAACTAGTGTGATATTACTTATAGTTCATTTATTTTGATACACTAGAATTCGCCGAGAAACTGGTCTATGCACGCAACGTCAACATTCTCGAATACAAACCGGACGAATGTAACCGTCAAGGTCGCTCTAACGTACTTAACGTATTTCACTCAAACGTTACTTGATAAATAAATAAATAGCTATACCCGATGATTGAATTTTAGACTTACGAAATCCGTTTCATCAGAGAGATAAATCATACAACGAAATATTTATTTCGTAACATTATTTAGATAAGAAACGAAAAAGTTACTGATACCATAGATAAGAAATTATTTCATTGTGTTTTATTAATAATACATAATACTTATATTTAGATTTGTTGGAATATTGTTAATCGAATTATTTAACTTATCAGTTTTTTGTTCAATATTAAAGTCATTTATCCGGAATTGGATTCGTGTATACAGTAAGTTCCTAAATAAATATCAAATTTTATAAATTTTGTACCATAAATCAGTTTTATATATATTATTTTTCAATTAGGAAATTTCGTGTCGACTTTTATTGTTATACAACTTATAATTACATCTTTTTTGGTTTTTGAGTTTTAGGACATTCAGATCAATTTCTTATAACTTCTGGAAATAAAAAAAAAAGATTTAGATCGAAAATTAATGCTTGCTTTATTTGACATGTAATGTTGTTTTTAATTTGTCAACAACTCTTTTACGGTATCTATTTTAAAAAATCTAATTATATAAATTGATCTAAAAGATTCATGTAACATTTATGACATGTACCGCGTGTTGCATCAACATATTGGTCAGTATGTCGGCTATTTTATAAATGTAATACCTACTACAGGACGCATTACATTTATAAAACATAATCAATCGATCAATTGTAAAGATGTAATCAATCGATTAATTTTATAAATGTAATACCTGTTAGGAAGGGTATCACATTTATAAAATAACCGACATACTGACCAATATGTTGATGCAACACACAGTACATTCTCCTAATTTTTCAATAGAAGATTAATAAATACCAATAAAAATCTTACTTTTTCATTAACAATATTTGTAATGTTAAATGATTGTTGTACTACATCCTGGCAAAACATAAAGTCTGTTCTTTTTAGCTGAACTTTTTGCACAGTTCATCTCATTTCCCTTTTTCTCTCCAACGTGAAAAGAAAAAATGAACCGCGCAAAGACGCGATCCGTTTCGCACTCACAACATGTGAGCATTATTTGTTTAACAATTGATAAACAACAAAGATGAAATGATTCTTAAACGCTGTAAGCTTCTAATTTTTAGAATTAGAGAAAGATGAAGGGTAATGAGATCAAAGTTGATCTACAATGAAATTGTAAAAATGTAAAAATTATTGTAATAATAAATAAAACGGAACAATAAATTGTAATATAAAAATTACAAACCCTGCCTATAACAAAGTCTGGCCACGAATAATTTTGTCAAAACAAGAGTGAAAAAGGAGAATATATATACTGTATGTTTTACGCTATCTCATTGTAATTTACTAAAGTTGATAAAACGGGTCAATTCAAAATTTCTCGTCCGAAGACTAGATACCGTTATAAGGGTCTCTAGTAGAAACGAGAGCACAAAGAACGCAGGCCTGTGGCAGTTTCTACCTAACCTAGCCAAAATCTTTGTATTATTTAGACCGACCAGCCGACCAGCAATGTAACGCATCGAGAAACTCATTGTGAGGATCTTACCCGCCTTCGTGGAAACTGGCATTCTCGCCGCAGCAACGACGCACTCGCGGCCTCATGGTCGCGGCGGCGTGATTGCCTGCCGATTTTTTCGGCATGCATACGAGCAGGGCGTTCGAATCGGAGCAGTAGTGACTGGGAGGAAAGTAGGGACCTTGACTGGCTTGATCGAGCTCGAGCACCGCTTCACCGTTTGTGAACAGGATGAACGGATTGGCATGCCGGTTTGGTACGTGAACCAGCTCCGAGCGGTTGTCGCATTTCGGCCGTTGGCCATCGATAACGTACCATTCGGCAGGCAGTTCAACGAAATTCTTTTCCTCGAACGAGAAAATGAAAGTTTTCCACTTGTTCTCCGTTGGCACGCAGCGCGGCAACGCGTTGCTGTTCGCGTCGTCATTAATTAGCTCCTCGCCATATCGACAACACTTGAAGATCCTCAACTGCGATTTCGCCAGGTCGTTCGGCTCCGAAACGACAACCGTCGCGATCGTCGCGATGAGCGCGAATACGAACGCCCTCATGATTCCGAGAAATCTGTAGCTACGTTCACGTCAGTCGAATTTTCGTCCTTTTCGAAACAAATATGTTTGTTGAACAAAAACGAATGTTTCCGTGTTCGAGCGATCGCGCGTATCAGCACTCGAATCAATTAGATTGATGTCATTTCGCGACGCGAACCGAAGCGATCGAGAACCGAGAGTCGAAATCCGGGAAGTAATTAAGTTTCTCAAATATGGGAAAGAGACACTGAATAAACGAGAGTCGTCCGTCCCGTTTGTTAGACGCTCAGCGCTCGTCGAACAGAACTCTCCCGTCCGAAGGCTTCGGCGTTACTGACGTCTGTCGGCGCCGTAAAACCACGCTGACGCGACACGCGGCACTGGCGGCAGCGTGATTCCGTGCGCGCGCAGCCGCGTGCTGCGCTCCCGCCCTTACTCGACCTTATTCAACCACCGCGCACGCTTCCTCCTTTTCTCTACGGCGACCTTCGCTCGCGTTGCACCGATGAAAGGGGCGAGAATTCGCGACCACGTGCCTGCGCCCCGCGACCCGCGCTCCGGTTCCGCTACAGCCGGAAGTACAACGGTAACGCGCGTGACGCTATTCCTTTTGCGGCGGCGAGTTGTATTACGACCGAACGTTGCACGCGAATCAGAGGGTGAAAGAGCGGGGGGAGATTTGACTACTTGTTTAACCTTCCCCACTGACTTCCGTGCGATCCACCTTAACGGTTCAAATGCTTCGTTGACCAGTCAGAAGAAAGAATTTTACGAATTGACCAGTCAAAGAATGCTTCGAAGCATTTGCTGCGTTAATTATAAATGGATCGCAGCCTTTATCGAAATTCTTTTAGCGGGAGATGAAACGAATTTTTTATCGAATATTTATCGATTTCGATGGAAAATATAAGCCCGACTGATACGCGAATGCCCGTTTCTATCAATTGAAAGTTTTAAGCTTCGCTTAAAATCAAAATAATCTGATAATTTTCTAATTCTTAGAATTAGAAAAAGATGAAATGTTAATTAAACCAAAATTAAAATTAAATTACAATGGTAGAAACGAGTATTAAGCTCTATTCTATCAATATTTTTTTAAGCGAGAATTAAAACTTTCTCTCTCTCTCTCTCTCTCTCTCTCTCTCTTTCAAGCTTTAAGAAAAAGAAAGAAGGAGAAAGAAAGAGATAGTTTTAAACTAATTCTTTTAAAGTCAAAGCAACGTTGGTGCAATCGAATTTTTAACTTTAAAGGAAAGTCGCCGATATTGATACATAGAAGTCTTTTAAAAAGATTCTCTTTTTTTCTTGAAAACTAACTATTGCTTTATTAATACTGATAAAAACAGGATTTGTTTAGAAGTAAAAATTAAAGAAGTAAAAATTCATAGTTCACGTATTTATGGCTTCTTTCTAACAAAATCAGCTAGAAACGAATTCTACAAATACGAAAATAAAACTTATGATTTTTTTTTGCAAATTGCGTGATTTAAATAATAATGTAGCTATAATAGTGATAATATTACATCATTTTATATGTTTGTAGTTTCCTAAATCATTTTTTAAATATTTTTTTCTTTCTTATTTTTTTATAGTATGGTTTTAAATGTAAAATCGGCGTGCAACGTAAATCAGTACATCTATCGATAAGACAGACCTAAGCTAACTTAATCTTTATAGAGTCAAATAGCCTAATCGGAGTTGAAGACACGCACATGGTACAATCGTGTATTTATAAGAAAATCCTTAAAAAAGAAACTCGCGTTACATGTCTTACAAAATAGCATAAAATATACAATAGAAATCAATAAAAAATGTTTTATATTGGAATGAAGAGATTCTAGAAAATCTTATACACATTCACACACTTATAGGTATTTTATACAGATGATTCCTGTGAAAGAAAAAGAATAGAAATATGTGACGTTACTGCCTATTATGTTAGTTTTAGAGCCCATTTTGTCAAACACGCATTTCTGTTTATCTTGAAAAAGATAATTATTGCAAAATTGCAAACAGTATTATAAAAACTGCTATATAATCTGATAGAAGATACTTTGTAGTTTTTATTTATGTTTCTAAAACTTTGTTTTTAGCTTTTGTTTGAGAAATATTGTCCAAAAATAAAGTGATATATCGATTTCGGCGACCTACATACTTCCTCTACCCATATTTTTTTTTTTCTTGTAAATGCTGTAAATAGTGTGCTAAAGTTCTCTATTGAGAGCATGCATTTATTTTTAGAAATGTAATAAAGTATTTACAATCTAAAATTTTCTAAATTATAAAAATTTGGAATTTATAGGTGTGTAACAACTTTTGTAGATACAACATAGTGATTAATTAATAGTAAACAGTGTACGTATTTAAACACAAGCAAATCGCAAATTAAAACGCAAGCGTTTTAATTTATGGATTAGCATGTTTTCAAACATTTCTAAATCTGTACAATTATTTTCTTACATTTTTTCTGAAAGCAATAACTTCAAGAGATACCTACTGCATACATTAATAAACCAGAAAAACCGTCAATTCGATGTCGAATAGACGTCAAGTCGACCTCAAAATCATCAATTCGACGTCGAATAGACGGTCATTTCTCACTGGAAAACGTGCGAATATCGCGAATATATTGATGTATCCTGAGAATTAAAGATCTTTACGATCTGCGTGGCAGTTTCTTGAGAGCATAACGGTAAAAAATACAACATGCAAAATAAATCGAGACGATTTGAAATATGCACTTCTCAGCGTGACTAAGCGCAGATCCTACAAGATATTTCCAAGAATCATTCACATCAATTGGTATAAAGGACCTATGAGAAAATATATAAGCGTATGTCCTCGTCCGCTACCTTAAGAGCAAACGTCATCCTGGACATAACGGACAATACGGTATCGAGGCGTTCTCTTGTCCGATAGTATTACATCGGCGATGAAGCTTCCTGAATCGACAACTCACCTGGCAGGCTCGACGGGCTCGACCTCTTCTTTGGCGAAACGAGCGGATAACTTCTCGATCGCGCGAAGGTCGGCAGCGATTACGACCGAGGAATCAACGTAACAACAACCGAGATCGACTCCATAAAACACGCTTAGTACGAATGCGGCTGGTGGAACATCACCTCGTGTAGGAAGTGAATACCGCTCGTTGGTTGTAATTTACACTCGTTGGGCGTAAACCGGCTGTGCTGCATCGATTCCACGAAGAGGTTGTCGAGAACATGCTTACGTTAACGCTTTTCTAAAATTAATGATTATAGACATAAGACTATATAAGACAATACTCTTGTACGGAATAGATACGTATGTGTATAGGGTTATAAATATCTTAGAACTTTGGGTTTCCAAAGTATGGGTGGCTGATGGAAAAATTTTAGAATATTAAATTACATTTCATTCTTGCAACGTAAATGGAAAAAATTTTTTCTTAGAGTTTACTCTGAAAGTATGATCGCGGCGCGGGACAACATTATATTTCGAAGAATCTTATGTAATTCTTTCTCACATTTATTAATAAAACTACAATAAATTATAAAATAAGTTTGATTAATTTTACTAAAGTGCATAGTAAACATTTTTTAAATATTTTATTGAGCCAAAATTATCATATTTTCAAAATAAATTCTAAGAGAAAATTCTCTCTGTATATAATTCATAAGAATTATAAGTTCGTTTCTTCACGTGTTGTATGTACCATTGTACATATAAACGTGTATTTTTTCACGACTTCGTAAAAGTGTGAAATTAAATTATTAACGTTGGTAGAAATCAAAATTTCAAAATAAATTAATATTATCAAATTTCTGCATCTAAAAGTCTCTTGCATTGAATTGACATTAAAACTGTCAACAAAAATAGGAAATAAGAACATTTTTACACATTATGTGTATCTGAGAAATAGATTTATAATATTTTATATTTAATAAAAAATTTAAAAATAGCGATTGTATAGGACATAAAATGTTCTAAATAAATAATTAGTTTTTAGCCCTACACACTTTTTTATATTTATTAAAATTTTATAGATGTCGCGAATATTTGCTATTTTAAAAAATGGATTGCAATTGCAATCATTTGGAAAAACTCCCGTTCTGTGAAGTTTATATGAACGTACATATATGTTCGCGCTTTAATACTTTTTATGTTTCATAAATAAATTATTTTGATATTTTCGAAATTATATTCGATAAAAAAAAAAGCAGAAAAAGTAAAATAATATAGATAAAATGGTACAAATAAGTGTTAATTAATTTAACCCTCGCTCCGCTCTTTTATTTTTACTGAAATTAAGTTGGTCGCAGATGTTTGCCGTTTTAAAAAGTAGGTCGCGATCTATACAAGTTTGAAAATTCCTGCCTTGGAATACGTTCACATATTATGGCATATTCAGGATGTGTTTTATATTTAAATGTTTGCGTCTCGCGACTGTGTGTTAGTTATTCGAAATGTTGTTTCGAAATAGCTGAAAATAAATTTTTTAGTTGCGATACATCAATGTTTATTAACAATAATATAATTATTAATAAATATATAATTAATAAAATTATAAATACATATATATATATATATATCTCTATAATGAGTAATATTTAAAAAATAGCAATAATGTTTCTCTAATAACCAACCAAAGAAGCGTAAACTTTTAATTAAACAGTACGTCGTGGTTTAAAAAGACTCCAATATGAGTTCAAGCATTAAAGCACTTACGACTTTGTGTGTACGTAATAAAATTTCAGTACATATTGCATTATATAAAAAAACCTTTTTAAAACAATATCCTCTCATTTATTGAGAAAAAGTCCTCAGTTTTTGTCCAATTTTCCTCAAGAGAGTCGGCAAAAAGCGACCGTCCAAGTCGACCGGAAATGCTTTAAAAAGTTCCGCGCGAGCAGCGCCGGCGGGACGCCGGCAATTAAACTTTTTCGCCATCTCGCGACAGAGAAAATTGGAAATTTGTGTCCCCGCTGTGGCCGCCTACCGGCGTCTGCAAAATTTTATCAATTAAAATATCGTTAACGTCC